CCCCTTTCTCTGCCATTCATCCACCTCCATCCGCTGGTACACCAGGGCCCTGCTAAGACCCAGTACGCTGGCCATGCTCACAAATGCTGTGATGTGCACAGAAGACCCACAGTGGCCCTTCATAATGCCATCAGCCAAAGAGAGGCGGCTGGTTTTGGCGGGCAAAGGTGGAATGACACATGCATTGCAACCCAAATTATCACAGCTTTCTATTCTCATCTACCAGGTCCATCTCAGAAATCTTGGAAAGGTTCCTTTTGTTTGACTACAATTTCAGAATTGTTAAGCAAGGCAGAGGCAGACTGGACTTTGGGGCCCAGACTCCCAGGTCCTTCTTCTGTGCCAGTTGCATTACAGAATCTTAAGAGTAGGAAGGGACCCCAAGGGTCATCTATTCCAACCCTCTGCTGTTCAGGAACACACAACCAAAGCACTCCTGAAAGATGGGCATCCAACCTCTGTTTAAAAAAACTCCAAAGGAGAGTCCACCACCCACCGAAGGCCGGTCAAACTGCATCAGAACAAATGGGAGACAAATGTGGAGCTGGAGAAAAGTTACTTTTTGAAACCGCAACTCTCAGAATCCCATTCCAGGCAATCCTAGAAGTCGTCATCCCCAAAAGTAACTTCCCCAGCTTTGTAATTTGCGTTTATCCATTTAGGTCGGCAAGAGTGGTTTGAGCATTGGACTATGACTCTGGAGGCCAGGGTTCAAATCCCCACTCAGCCATGAAAACCCACAAGGTGACCTTGGGCAAGTCACAGTCTCTCAGCCTCAGAGGATGCCAATGGCAAACTCCCTCTGAAGAAACTTGCCAGGAAAACCCTGTGATAGGTTAACTTGAAGGCAAACAATACACACAAATACATACACATCTATGGAAAACAATCTACCAACAATTTCCATCCTCTCCCCAATCTTCTCAAGGAGCCAAGGGCACCTTAGCTTTCCACCAGAACAAGAAGTATGGCTATAAACTGTGTGTTCATTTCTGAGTAAAAACAATCCTGAATTGGACAATTACCTTTTGTTAGCAATCACCAGAGTGCTGCAAAAAGTGTGAGCTTTTGAGTTCATCAGAACGCTTCATCGGTTTAAACGGTTCAAAAAAATAAATAAATGGGGTGGGATAGGAGGATAGAACGAAACACAGAAATGTCTGAAAACGTTCTCTGATGATCATATAGTCTGTAAAGAACCAAGATTAATGCACCATCTACCCTGAGGAAGCGTCCTGGAAAACTCAAACTCAAAGGTCATGCATTTTATTTGGTCTTAATTAAAAGCTTCTTTTCTGCTGCTCCAGTGAATAGGGCCTGGAACAATGGATGAAAGCTACAGGAAAAGAGATTCCACATCAACATTAGGAGGCACTTCTTGACAGTAAGAGCTGTTCGACATTGGACCACACTCCCTCAGAGTGCAGTATAGTCTTTGGTGGTGAGTTCCTGCATGAGAGAGGGTTGGACTGGATGGCCCTTGTGGTCTCTTCCGACTCTATGTTTCTATGAAAAGTCCTGCCCAATTTTGGATCATGTCTTTACTCATGGACCAAAAGAGTAACTGCTGACTTTTGTTTCCTGTAAAATTTCCCATTCAAAACCAAACGTGTAACCCACTCTCTCTCAGATAAGCAGGACATTTTGAGTTCCAGGCTTTGCAACTTCCTAACGCAAATGCTTCCATCCTGCCCTGCATCCTCCGCAAAGAATAAAAAAGTGAGAGGCTGGTTTATCTCTGTGAGTTAATTTAATTTTTTTTTTTACATTTACAAAATAAGATTTGCTTTCTCCTTGTCCCCTACAGTACAATAAGAATCCATTTTTGTGTATCTTTGATTCTAGAGTAGCTAGATGTTCATCTGTTTTATTACAGTGTGTTTGTGTTGGGAAGGGGAGGGGAGGGAATTTGGGAATTAAAAAGTGCAGGTTTCGAAAGGAAGAGATTTTTTACAATGTCAGGTGGGGTGAAGTTCTGTTAAAAATGGAAATCAGCAGATGAACCAGGATGAAGCTGCATTTTCCTTCTCCACCCCCCCCCCACCCCAAGCGAGAAAACTGAGCACCATGTCAAGGAAAATGTTACAAGACAAAAATAAAAACATTTAGAAATTCAATAAAAATTCCAGAGAGAGGTCAAATAAGGAACAACAACAACAAAAGAGACATGTAAAAACAAAAATAAAACAGATACATTAACATTGTAAAAAGTTATTTCTTTTTTTAAAAAAAAGCTGGATCAAACCCCATTAAAGGACCAATAAATAGAGAAATCATTACCAAAAAGACGTATAAATTAAAAAAAGAGAGAGCGAGATGAGGGGGGGGGAAAGAGACACTGAACATTTACAAATTGCAAAACAATTCTGAGGCATGGAGGTACAAATCTGAAAAAGAAAATTACCCCAAATCTGAGACATTTGTTTGTTTTTAAAATGAACTGGGAGCCAAAAGCATGCAGAGCGAGGCAAGAGAGGTTTCTTCCCTTGGGAAGAAGTGAGGAAAAAGTTAAGAATTAAGATTTAAATCATGTAATCAGCTAAAGATGAAACATTAAGGGCATTTCATAGGTAAGAAGGATGAAAATTAGAGAGTTAAGGGTTCACTGTTAGTTTGCCCCTTCCCCAAATGGTATGGGTTTTTTCTTTAGGGCAGGCTGTGAAAATGCCTAAGGAAAGGGGGAGACGATGTCAAGTCTCTCCCCCTTTTTTGCAAAAAAATTCTCCCATCTACCCGTGTGTCTGATTTGGGGCAAGCACCATATCCTCTTCTGCATAGGGCTGGGGTTTCCCATCCCAACTCACCGCACTGGAATTAACCTGTGCCTCACACAAACATTTCGACCGGACTTGTGTATATATATATTTTTTTGTTGGTTTTTCTGTTTTTGTTTTTTAAAAGCAGTTTCTAATACAAACCAGGATTTTTTTTCTTATATTTATATATATAATATATAAAAGGATGTAAGAAATCAAAATGTCCATCAGAATAA